GTGATCCACACAGACAACAAGATTATAGGATTTGAGTTTTCTTCTTGTGCTAGCAAGAATAATGAATTTTCTCTAGATTTTGAAAACCCTTTTTATATTTGTATAAGCTCGAACGGGCTTGGTTTGACCCGGTCCAATATTTAATTACATCCGGTCCGTGAATTAATTAATTTAGGCCTATAAATAATCAACCCAATTAATTAATTTATCTAATGCTTGTTAAATTAATTAATTGACAAATCACAATCTTCCAGTTCTCTTTTTGTGTGCAACACATCAAATTCTTGATCACGATACCTAACGATGTGAAATATTATTTTAATATATACAAAATTGATAGACTAAAATACCATTTTAATTTATCATCAATTCACGCTCACCGTCTTAGATTGACATCTAACAATGTATTAGGGCAATACATGTGACGAAAAATGTCACGTGGTATGACAAAATCAAACTCGTTCATTTACCGTGAAACTATAATCCCTTTGTCAATATGATCCGATCAATTATGAGATATGAAAGTGTGTCAATCTAGATTATCGATCATATCTTTCACTTTACTATTAAGTCAAAATAAGTCGAAAACTCCTTTTCAACTTTTGAGTACACCTTGGCCAAGGATTTCGCTATCGACTTAATTGAATGAAAAGAAGATCATTGTCTCTTACTATCTAAGAGCGACGAATCATTTATTGGTCATTCACAACCTTCATACGATTCTTGACATACCCGAACGATGTCGTATTAGCGGCCCTTAGCAAAGCAACATCCAATACTGTCAAAGCATGACTGTCCTCATATGAGATACTATGACAACCTTAAGTCAAATGACCAATCACACTACAGAATGTTAGAGATTAACCACTGACACTCAGATAGTTGTGCATGTGGAATGTCTAGGTGGGTCTCCAATGTTTTGTTCTATAACAAACCATCCACGTGTTCATTCAAGTGTTACCACACTTTAACTTGTGAGATCAGCTACTTACTTCACAAGTAAGAAATGTCACACGTGATGATTTATTTGTATAACGATATCCGTATCTCGTTATTACTTATGACCACAGACGATTTAAAATTCAATCATATGTAATTTATATCTCACAATCACAACTCCTTGTGATTAACAAATTACGAAGATTTGAATCTACGGATTCTATCATTCAATTTAATTGTCTATTAATTAAATAATAGATCTGCCATTAAATCGCATTAATCACATTCGTTTGTTTACTCAACTGAAATGCTCTGTATTGGATAGCTTTGACGAGAGAATTCATATAGAAAACTTATGCCATTTCTTTTCATGCTTAGTCTTGCAATCTCTCTCTTTTTTCACATTACCTCTTTGTATTACCAACAAAGGACAAGTGTCATGTTGTTCAACATGTTATACATCTCTTGAAATTTTCTCTTACTGGGGAATATAACATCTCGTTTTTTTTTTGTTAAAGGAGGGCGGTACTTCTGAGATTTTATTAATTTTTCCTCACTTGTGACGGAAGAATACCGTAGTTACATGTGGAAAAATGAAAGCAATAAATGAGAAAGACTGCTTCTCTTACAATAATTGAAAATGCTAAAGAAAATGTGTTAAGCAGTAAAAGAGGAAGTACTACTTCCCTTACAATAAGATTTGATGCAATTAAAGACAAAAAGCAAAAACAACTAAAACCAAAAATTAAAATAGAATTACAATTCATAATTAGAAGTTGAGCAGTCCATGTCTATCAATTTGTGTGAGTGCTCTAATATGACGTGGTAGGGCAGCTGATCCATACGTTTGATATCGCCGGTGATCCCAACCTGCTGCGGTAAGAGCATTTGCAACATGGTTTCCCTCTCTGTAGATATGGGTAACTCTATCTCTATCTAAGGAGATGATGTCTGCAATCTTTCTGAGTATACCTTGTATAGCCCTTGGTCCTCCACCGTTGGTATTGCAATGAATAGATGCACTGGAATCTGCCTCAACCCAAATGTCTAAAAATCTAAGATCTCTAGCCAGTAGTATCCCATCAAGAATTGCCCTAAGCTCTGTTTCTAGTATCTTACATTGTCCATATGATGTTGAGAATGCTCTTATGCATTTTTCTGTGTTATCCCTGTTGATGCCTCCCCCGCTTACAAAGTCATCATTGACACATCTATCAATATTGATCTTTACAGTTCTGACTAATGGAGTGTGCCACCAAACTACAATGGGGGGAGGAGATGAAGGGAAGGTCATAGTAATCCCACAGAGTGAAGCAAGCTACATGTCATTACGCCAGTGTAGTGGTCGAAATAATCCTCCATTGTGAAGGAATGACACCATACGATATATCTTTCAAATGATTCGTCTTGATCTCATGTGGATATCCTTATGCTTTGCGTCATTTCTCTCGGTTCATAGAAACCAAAAAATTAGTAGAGGGATAATGATGCGAATGTGTCCACTCCAAGTAAGCTATCCAGAGTAACGCTATTGCAGAAATCTTTGTCTGACACTCTCGCCTGCAATCATAGTAATCTGAAATAAGTGCCCAAAGTGCTACCAGACCTAATCTGATATATTGCTACCGGTAAAAATATGGGTAATTGTCTCAATCCCAGAAAAACACTGACACCGAAAAGCCAGCTGACTGCCATTCCTCCTCTAATTAATAGTATCCATTGGAATCAAATCCTGCCATATTTTCCAATAGAAGCATGAGATTTTGGTAGGTACGATAGGGTTCCAAAGGAGACGAAATGAATCTTGTGATGGTTTGCTAGAACGGATCAACTGCCATTCTGACTTAGTGGTAAATCTACCATTTGATGTAGTCCTCCAGAAAATACGATCTGGGATGTCGACACATAGTGGCATGTCTGCAATCTGTTCTCCTATAATTGGTGGAAGAGCATGTACTAATCATCTAAAGTTCCATCGAGTCTCTTCGAAAAAATCCTGCACCCTCTCATATGTGTGTTGCATGTGTGGGAGGATAGACGTAAAGAACTATCTCTATCCAACAATCATGCAAAAAGAAAATCTAACCTACCCCAAGTTGCCACGCAATGTGTGGTTCGGTACGTTGCCTTAAGACTTTATAAAAATTGTACACCATGCCCTTCAATTATGGAGCCAAGTTGGGATAGCCAATGTTGATGAGGCTGACGGGACTATTCATGTGGCTTCATATATAATTGAATGTGATGTCCTAAAGTGAGTTACCTAGGTGCAACGCTAATGGAGAATTTTTAAGGTTATGAACTGAACTGAATCGTTATATTGATAAATTTCTAGCATATTAATCAAAAAATGATGTGTGTCATATCACATGTTTAAATGACCATGTAGAAGTCTTTGATGTAATGTAGGCCTTAGTAAGTTCATGTGACTTTTGACAATTTTGTAAGCATTTTGTCTGAAACGAAGTCACCAGGACAGAAGGAACTTATGTCGATTAAACATTATAGATGTGTCATCAGCATTCGATTTGTTCACCTTAGAAGTCAGGACGTTACCATTAAGACTAAAGAAATTATGCAAATAAATGATTCTAAGTATGGTCTGATGGATAAATCATAATCTGTGACAAAAATGAATCCAGGACACTAGCATGAGAACCATAAGGTTTTAGGTTTGGATCATTATTAACTGGATCTAAATCTACTGGTGAGAAAAAAGTTGAGGCCCTCAACCTTTTTCATCTTCCAATTCCCCTTTAAAGGTCATTTAGTTTTGTATTATGAACAGTACACTAGAAGGGGGATAACTCATGTAAAATTCAACTATTTTGCAAGTTCTCTTAAAATTCTGGTGTAGATTCAGTAAATTAATTAGCGAATTTTTATGAGATCTCTCGTAATATTTTGTTGATATTACCTCTTGATATCTCCATGCTTAAGTTAATACCAGTACAGGGGCGGATCCAGCACTTGGCGAGCCGGCGCGGCCACCCGTGCTGGATCGGTCGAGGAGAAAGTTTAATGAAAAATGTTTGTTGAATATATATGTATATATTGTATTGGATTATATTATTAAATATATATGACTTTTATATTTTGGTGTATTTATATATTGATAGAAATTTTTTAATATTATTTAATTAAATATTAATAAACAGTTTTACTATTGCAGCCATTAAAAGGTCAGCGACCGCCCTAGCTGACTCAATATCCTAGATACGCCACTGAATACCACCTGCACTCAAATTTCTGGAGTGAGTAATATGGTTCAGGTAGTTTAACAAATTATCACCAGAAAAATATGTACTACGATTTAAACTGTAAAACTTATAGATGGATCATTTATTCATCAGAGAAGTAGCTATTTAGTCATTGGAGAGCATCCCTTGGGGAACATGTTTAGGAGCAATTTAAGGGTTGTCCACTTGAAGCTACTTATCCTTGCATATCTGCATAATTCTACAAGTTGGACTTCCGAAGAGAGAACTGAGGAGGAAGCTGTTTTTGTTATTTTATTGCACTTAGCCTAGCATCCAGCATCTACTCATTCGAATGTGGCAAAGGTGCTTTAGAAATGTTTTCATAGGATGTCTTGCGATTTACTACTTGCCTTCTGACATGGTATTACAATGTATTGGTGCTGTAGTAGTTTCCCAGCTGAAAGCACATGGGTACCTGCATGCACCCCAGTTTTTCTAATTCTGCCTGCATAATCCCCTCAACTGAATTCTCAGGATTTTATTATGGTTTCTACAATTTGGACAATAACTCTCTGCGTTGATTTGTGTTATTTGTCTAGAAAAAACTCACATGCAGCTTAATTTTTGTCGCAATTCAAGAAAAGACCTAATAGCCTTACCTTGAAAACTCTGTACTTTGCTAGTGAATATCTTGAATGTCTTTTTTCTAATCCATGTTCAGTTTTGTTCTTGTGCATGTTGTTTCATTATTCAGATCACTCGATGCACGTGTTCGTGTGTTTGTGCTGTCCTGTCTCAACCAGAAATCACGTACATATGAAATTTTATAATTAGTCTCATCTTGAGCGTCTTATTCTTCAGGATTGGCTGGACATTGATTTTTGGATTGCAGAAGGTGTTGATTTTATTGCTATATCATTTGTCAAGTCAGCTGAAGTTATAAATCACCCTAAGATCTATATTAAGGCACGAGCTCGTGATGGGTGAGTTACATGGAGTTTTTTACAATAGTTTGTTTATTGCGAAGGTGAAGTCAAGTCCCTTGGCCCTTTTAATGCTTTATATTATATTTCATGACAGTTTCTGGATAGTGTTTTGTGTTGTTTCTGGAGTTTAAAGTTACTCCTTCGAAAATAATCCGACAGAATCACCTGAATATAAGAATTGATTAACATGATCTAAACAGTAATTCGAGCCCACAGATTTCACGATGTTTCCTTAAAATGAATTTGCTGCCTTCAATGGTGCTAAAGGCGTCTAGCAATCGTTTCTCAGGATAGAACGAATTTTCGTTTCCTTTGGAAGCAGCACTGCAATCTGCAGGAGTTCCAACGAACTCAACGAAGTGTGTTTTACTTCGAAACAATATCAGAACGAGAGAGAGAGAAATGAGATTCAAAGCACAGAATGTTTGCAATGAAAATGGTGTAAATTTTCTGGTAGAGAGGCTGGCTATTTATAGACTTGTTTGTGGCCATTCGAACAGTCATCACCTTTCAGACAAGCCTCAAAATTCCGAACAGACATGCTGTTCTTAAAAGTCGTGTCTGTTAAGTCGGTTAACAGTCGGCTAACAGTCGACTGTTTGGTCGGTAAACAGTTGACTGTTAAAAGAAAATAAAACACCCGGAATAAGCCAAAATTTAAATTTCATATTGTACCCAATAATTTGATTATTTACAATTTGGCCCAAAATTTTAAATAAATTTTGTCCAAAAAGTTAATATAGTGTAGGTTTATGACCGAACCCAATAGAATATAGTCTTCCCCCTTCCAAAGACTATTGGTACCCTTTGGGACCCAAACCCAATTCCAAACTTCCACCTTATAAACCACACCAAAGTTTCCTAACTTTCCTATGTGGGATAAATGTTTGGAAAATCAAATTCTTCCATAATCCTTAGTTTATGTGGGTTACTTTAACACTTAATATTTCATTCAATTTTAAATGGTTTTCGATAAATAAATATATCACGTTAATCATCTCGCGGAGTAGAACGTGAATATGCTAGGTCCCGTATTAATTAAAAGGTGGGTCCCACTGAAATTTGGGCTCAAAGTTGACCCATTTCATAACCATTTTTTCCAACATTTTGTTCTTAGATGTAACTTATTGATTAAACATTGCTCATCGCTTGTCAAATGCAACATAATATTTTTAAATGTGGTAAAACATGACCTCATTTTCCGTTGGGACCATGTGGACAAGAGATACTAGTCCCACTCGTGCATGCGTACACAAATTCTGACACGTATGAATAGTGTGCTAGTTGACAATACTCCGTACTAGGACATGGGAGATGCGTTATAGCAACGAGACAAATGTGTGTGTGTGTGTATATATATATATATATTTTGATTGATTGTAAAATAATAACCAATCATCAACACTTTCAAGGAAGCAAGAGAGAAAACAAACAATAATTTTAAGTGTGTTGATTTGGGTTAGTCCCTCTATGTTACAGTGGGGGGGGTATCTATAGCATTATAAACGAAATTATGGCCCTTAGATGGAAATACACATGGCCTCATCTCCTTAATCCAAGCATCTAATCATAGGGATCCATTTGGACCTACTAGCATGTGGTATACTCAATGTTTACACAGAGCCGACAAGACTTGACATTTATACTTATTACAAATGTCTCATCAATTATTTCTAAACGATTTCGTACCTAAGCTCAACATTTTCCTTGCTTGAGCCATCATTAGATGAAGGAGTTCGACGCAATTCAGGATTTTCCTTGCACTGGTCGTCACTAGATGAAGGGGTTCGAGGCTCTTCGCTTCAAACCTTCAACCTCAGTGGAAGGGGCAGGCCTCGGTTTGTTCTTTCTAGCCTCATCTCGCGTGTGCGAAGCTTCGCTAAGTTGGTTCCAATGCTTTAAGTGGGTCGGCTACTTCACCAATGAGCCTTGGTTGTTGGCCATATAGATAAGAGAGCCCTTGTGACGTATCGCCACATGTCGCCAAATGTAGCGAGGCATAACAATGTCCTCCAAAACTGTGCATAGTTTATTTATATCATGCGTGGACTTCAGTAATAAGGCTTTCATTAATTTGTTTTGTGAATAAAATGGAAATTAGTAACCACACACACAATAGTCTCCCAGGTCCACGCATAGATATTGAAATCATAATTGGCGTTGGTAGTCCCATTCTGAGATGTGGCAGAGGCACCCGAAATTGGTTTTGAGACAAAGCAGATAATTCGTGAACCGTCGAAGCTCGTTTAGTTTTATCATAGCTGAAATTTATTTCGAACCGAGGCATAAAGAGTTGACCTGCTGAGGCTCCATTATTTGTAAAATAGCTGAAAGTTATTTCAAGTCGAGATAGTAAGATCTAAACCACTGAAGCTCCCGTATTTACAATGATAGCCCTCAAAATTGTTGCTAATGATTTGATATCTTTGCTCATTACCAAGAAAAAGCAACGAAGCTACCACAATTTCTCATACACGTATGGAAGTTATTTTAAACATACAATGATTGTGATATCTTCGTAATCCTTGTCTGACACGTTAAGTCTGTGCGTGTGATTCACACACTAATCTTATGCATCCGTTTAAGAGATTGTTTGAATTTTATGCCTCAAATTTTGTTTAGAATCAAATGGCCCAGATCAAAGGTGTTTTGATCCAACGGTTGTCTCCTGTTTAGTATAAAAGGTAAAAAATGTCATTTTTATACTTTACTTTGTGAAAATCTCCTACTCTCAGTTCTCCTTCTCATATAGGTATTTTTCTATCAGATCCATCGTTTGTAATCTTCATTTTTGTTATCTTCAATGGATTCCGAGTCGAGTGCTAGTGATAGAGCTCACTCGCTAGGTTCGACGAAGAAGGGTTACCCAAGAGTTTCAAGGTAGGTTATTGGTCCATGAGTGAGGGGCCAATAGATTATGATGTGGGTTGGGAACTTTTAACATTTCTTCTACGATGACTTTCGCAAAACTTGCCAACCTTAGGTAAAAATACTATAACCAACATTATATAGAACTCCTTGTTGCCAAGGCCCATGAACGTGCCTACTATCCGAGATGAGGATGTGTGGCCATTAGTGAATTCTTGTTTAAAGTAGAAATGTGTCTATTGTTGTACCCCTTCCTTAGGGCATTGCTTCGATGCTTTATGTTGGCTCCCACCCAACTTTTAATAAATGGGTAGAGCTAATTGGTTGGGGTTTACTTTTTTTTGGAAGAAGGTTTTCCTCGGTGAGGACATGCCTCCAAATAGTTTTTCAACCCCAGGTTCTTAGGAAAGACGAGTCAAACGTGTGGTATTACCTAACCCTATAGCTCACGCTCTCTTCGTAGTGGGCCTTCTTTCCTCAATCAAAGGATGGAAGGAATATTTGTTCTGGGTAAAGAAGAGATAGCAAATGGTTGAGAGAGATACAGTCCCAGCTTACACCGTACCAACCCAATACTCCAAAGCTCGTGAGTGTTTTTAGTTACATTTTGGTTTTTCCTTTTTGTTAAGCTAAAGTAACATTTCATTATTGTTGTGTAGATTCGGGGCCATGCTTTGAGCTTCATGAGGTAAAGTAGGATATAATCGAGGACATTTACAAATGTTCTTTGAAGACACTTTGATCAACTAATCGAATGCAATCGATACTTCATTGACTTCGGCTTGATCCAGGGGTAAGCATTGAGCTTCGTCCGTCACTAATATTTATCATTTTGATATTATCTAACCTTGGTGTTTTGTTGTTAACAAACAACTTTGGGAAGAAGAAGTATCCTATCTCTGACATGGCTTGGATCTTGAAGGCCATCTCTACCACTGAAAGTCCTAAAGCTATCTTTTGGGGAGGCGAGGCATGTTAGGGGGAAGCTAGAGCTCCTCAATGAGGATTATGTAGAGAAAGGCGCTGAGAAGGCACCTTCTAAAACCGATAGGGGTAAGGAGGACAAGGAAAAAGGGGTAGCGAAGAAGCCATAGAAGAAGAGAAAACTGTCCCACAGCAACTATAGCTTCGACAAGTTCGAGACTAATGTTGTTCACTGCACAAGCTGGTGGCGCTCTCCACTCCCAAACTCACAGAGGCCTCCACGAAAGCGACCAAAGGAAAGGATATGCATAGGGCTAATGAAGAGGCTAAGAAGGAGGAAAAGCGGGCCTAGGAGACCACAAAGAAAGCTCTGGTTGTGAGGATCCTAAGAGAGTCTGAGAGATTTTTGGCGGGAAAAATGAAGTGATAGCCCTACAGTTATGGAGATGCTATCACCAGAGGACCTCATTGCAGTCGTATATTTCTACTTGTGATGTGGTGGACCTCATTGCCAGAGGAAGAGCTTTTCCTAGACTGAACACTGTTGAGTTGAGAATAGAATATTTGGATGAAGTTCTTTAGACCCTGGCTAAAGAGGTAGCTAGAGGGGAAGCAAACTAAGAAGAGACTCTTAAGGAAGAAACTTCAACTCAAGCTGCAGCTGAAGCGTCTGCTGTAGAGGTATCAGAGCCTTAGCCACCTTTTGCATAGTTTAAGGTTTTTTTGCCTTTTGTAATGACTGTGACCCTCCTCTTGTACTAATAAGTTCTTATCAATGAAATGAATTTGTTTTACTTTGTGTTCATTCTCTTACTGCAAGGCTTAGCTCTACATTTAATGAACCATAATAACTTTAAGTAAAGAGACTATCTTATTCCTTAGATAATGAGCTACTCTGTTAACATAATGTACCCAAGCGTTTCAAGTTCATTCAAATAATTGATTGATTCAACTGATAACATACTGGCCCACTGGAACGTTTGGACATAACTTAAGAAAGTGTAACTTGGGTTAATAATAGACTCACAATTACGTCTCGGAGGAATGATAGGTAGTCCTTTTTTGCATGGCGGGTGGTTTATCCATTTAAGAGATTCTCATTTGACATTTTACTTCGTTAAGGCGAGGCATGTGATATGTGGCTTGGAGTACAAACAAGGTGATCCTCTTCTGAAATCTGATCATCTCCTTTGAGGTGTCCGCGT